ACTCTCTGCCAGCAGGTGGCGCTTAAAGCGTTTCCTGGTTTCCGCTGTAAACACAGCAGCGCTGAACTTATGAACTTTAAAGGGGTCATGTGATGCGATTTCATTTTTTCCTTTCTCTTTGGAGTGTTACAAGCTCTTGGTGCATAAAGAAGATCTGTAAAGTTGCAAAGACTAAAGTCTCAAATCCAAAGAGATATTCTTTATAAAAGTTAAGAGTTAGCCACACCTACCTAAAACGGCTCGTTCGAACACGCCCCCACATATCTACCTCACTATGTGGGAAGATTTGCATAACGCCGCCCAAATGTTCACGCAAAGAAAGAAGGCGTAACTTTTATTCTCGCTGTAGTTTTGTTGTTGCCGCTGCCGCCATGTCCTGAAGACGCTGTGTGCTTCGTTGTGAAAGCGAAGCTACTTTGTTTGGTCTTCCAAAAGAGGACGATATCCGCTTCGTCATGCCTAGAGCTGATCCGTGCTGGTTGCTGAGGGAATACATCAACTTAGTGCTGTGGATCGCCGGATTGGCTTTCACCGTTTTCACCGCTCCTTTGCCGGGACCGCCGTTCTCGACCCCGCCGCCTCAGCTCACTCTTGCCCGGCTTCAGCTCAGGCTAAGCCGGGGCTTTCGCACACGGTAGGCCGCTGTGTTTTTCGTTGTGAAAGCGAAACTACTTTGTTTGGTCTTCCAAAAGAGGACGATATCCGCTTCGTTATGCCTAGAGCTGATCTGTGCTGGTCGCTGAGGGAATACATCAATTTAGTGCTGTGGATCGCCGGATCGGCCCTCACCGTTTTCACCGCTCCTTCGCCGGGACCGCCGTTCTCGACCCCGCCGCCTCAGCTCACTCTTGCCCGGCTTCAGCTCAGGCTAAGCCGGGGCTTTCGCTCACGCTAGGCCGCTGTGTTTTTCGTTGTGAAAGCGAAACTACTTTGTTTGGTCTTCCAAAAGAGGACGATATCCGCTTCGTCATGCCTAGAGCTGATCTGTGCTGGTCGCTGAGGGAATACATCAACTTAGTGCTGTGGATCGCCGGATCGGCCCTCACCGTTTTCACCGCTCCTTCGCCGGGACCGCCGTTCTCGACCCCGCCGCCTCAGCTCACTCTTGCCCGGCTTCAGCTCAGGCTAAGCCGGGGCTTTCGCTCACGCTAGGCCGCTGTGTTTTTCGTTGTGAAAGCGAAACTACTTTGTTTGGTCTTCCAAAAGAGGACGATATCCGCTTCGTCATGCCTAGAGCTGATCCGTGCTGGTCGCTGAGGAAATACATCAACTTAGTGCTGTGGATCACCGGATCGGCTTTCACCGTTTTCACCGCTCCTTCGTCGGATCCGCCGGGACTGCCGTTCTCGATCCCGCCGCCTCAGCTCACGGTAAGCCGGGGCTTTCGCTCATGCTAGGCCGCTGTGTTTTTCGTTGTGAAAGCGAAACTACTTTGTTTGGTCTTCCAAAAGAGGACGATATCCGCTTCGTTATGCCTAGAGCTGATCTGTGCTGGTCGCTGAGGGAATACATCAACTTAGTGCTGTGGATTGCCGGCACATTTTATGGAGGACTGTTTACTGATCCTGGGAGAGTTAGGTTAGACTAAAATGCCGGCAGTTCTGACTCACGTAAGTACGTTTTCTTTTATCATTTGCCACTGATGATTCAAACGCGAGTTTTGGGCAGTGTGGATTAACGTTAGCACTTGTTGTTTGTCATTTCTCTGATCACAAATGCAGACAGGGTTTTATGTTTACGCGGCGCAATGCAACGCAACGCGTAAAACGACAGTATAAGTCATTATAATCAGTAATTATGTCCCCATTGGATGCAACAAATGCCTCGTTTGTAATGGGTTTTAATGTTTATGTCTCGTCGCTCCGTCCGGACACGGCATCAACAGTATGTGAGGGGCGTAACATTTCCGTCTCGCGCTTGAGGTATTCGGCCAATCACACGCATTGGATAGCTGGCCAATCAGAGCACACCTCGCTTTTTCAGACCGATGAACTTTGTAAAAATCGACGCGTTTCAAAAAGGCGGGGCATAGAGGAGAAACAATAATGTACAGTATGTGGAAAATAATGTGTTTTTTGAACTTTAAACCGCATAAACACATTTCATTACACCAAATACACAAAATAATGTTCTTTTTAGCAGCATCATATGACCCCTTTAAAAAGAGCGATTGATCACTTTGACATCAATGAGTGGCATCAACTCGAAGTACTGGGGCACATGCCTAACATCCAGCGTTTAAAAACTTGCTGATGTAGTGTATGGTGAACTTAATCTCTTAAAGTTCAGAGAGGTAATGAAACAAAAATGTTTAGTGTCTGTTGCTTTGTGAAGAGATCATCAGTTTGAAAAGTAACATGCACTTCACTTCCACAGTCTGAACCCTTACAGCTACGACGAGAGTTGCGTGTCCAGCAGCGTAGACCATCTACCTCTGGCCGCTTTACCACTGCTCGCCATTGCTGCTCCACACTACCAAGACGCTGTCGCAACTGTGATCGCCCGGGCCAACCAGGTGTACCACAGCTTTCTGCAGTCTCCAGAGGGACAGGGGTTCACAGGGCAGGTAAGTTCATGAGCACCCAACAATCTTAAAGGGATAGTTCACCCAAAAATAAAAATATTTTTTGTTAATTTATTCACCTTCAGGCCATCCAAGATGTTGGTGACGTTTTTTTCTTAAGTAGAACAACAAAGATAGGCTTTTATTAAACGAATCATGGAGTGAATTTCTCACCCACTGCTTTAAAACAGATATCGGTTGGACCTGATTCCAGTTCAGTGCGCAATAGCAGGCACACCAACACTTCATAGCCTATTTAGTAAATCTTACTGAAAATGACAGATTAAATAGTTTATATTGTAAAATCTATGTCTAGGTTTTGTTTTGTGAAAATCAAATAACAATTAGATGTAAAAAGTCCTCTTCCTGACATAAATGTAGAAGACTGAGGCGCTTCAACGAAGCGTTCTGCGGATCACCTTTATGAGACTGTCCGGGTCTGGAGTCATTAAGCACGGCATCAGCATTGGCACCTTCATCTGAATTTATTTGTTTAGGTCCAGATTTCTCTGCAGGTGTTTTATGTTGTAAAAAAATAAACACTGAATATCCATTCAAGCCATGCAACAGGCAAGCAGTATCCGCCAAAATGCAGATTTGTCATGCCACAACTTCTTATGCAAATGAGATTGGAAAGCATTAGTAAGTTTGATTTGATTTATTAATTTATGTGCATAATGACATATGCACAGGCGCATACTCACACGTAAGCTGACGCTGTTTGTTTACAACAGAGATAGGGACTCGTGTGCAGACCTTCACCAGCAGTACCAATGTCTAAAGCACACAACGTAAAAGTTTCTATGGCTGACGATTTCGATGTGAAAGAGGATGACATGGAATTTTTTGCACAGGCCTACTTGTTCAAACCAGAATGTCATGCGATGACAACAGAAGTAGAGTCGATTTGGATCAGATGTTGTAAATCTGTGAAATGTCAATCATCCCAAATGGGACACGGACACAAACGTAATCTTACTTTTTTAAAATTTGTTCCAGCATCCAGGATAAGCAGAGGCAAGTACCATTTTCACGAACAATAAAACACACGTGTCCTCACTGTCCGTTGTAAACAAACAGCGTCAGCTCACGTGTGTTCTTGGTCATCTCTCTCAGTTTTTTTAGACATTGGTACATCTGGTGAAGGTCTGCACATGAGTCCTCACTCTTCGTTGTAAACAAACAGCGTCAGCTTATGTGTGTGCTATGTGACAGAGGACGTTTGCGCTTCAGACAGTCATGAACGCGCTGAGCACTGTTTGCCCAGGCTGTGGATTAAAGGTAATAATGTTGTAAATAATGTTCAGTTTTTTTGCACAGGCCAAATATTTCGCTTCGTAAGACCTCAATGTATAGTCAGGATCCACATAAACCGGCAGTCATAGTCAGACGTGCCACTGTATGAAACGCCAAGGACAGCGGTTTCACCTTAAAATCTTCTTTACTGTTCTACTGAAGAAAAAAAGTCACCTACATTTTTGGATGGCCTAAGGGTGAGTAAATTAATAGCAAATTTTCATTTTTGGGTGAACTATCCCTTTAAGGTGCCATCACATTAGCAAAATGTTGGTGCATGCATAAAGATTTGCTCACACAGAAGTTCCAGGCAAACCAAGCAGCTTACTTTGGTCAACCTGCGTGGGGAACTTTTTCACCCTGATGCAAAGCTATTCACAATAGCTCAGATTCCTATAGAGTGCAACAGTCGGGTTCCAGAATAAAATTAAAAATAGGGAATTTGATTGATTTTAGAGAAATTGAGAAATTGATAACTGATAATTAGGTAAGCCATCATTTTTCATGAATTCAACTTATTTTTTAAAATAAGAATTATGCTTAGTGTAATTTCTGGTGAAAAACTACATTACTCATGATGCTGTAAAGAAAATTCCTCCAATCAGAGAGTTGCAGTGAGGAAATAAAAAAAAAAAGAGCTCGGCAGGGAACACCCACTCCCATAAAGCACCACAAATTAATTAATCGAGTTGTTCTTGCTATGCTCTCAACAACTTAAAAAGAATCATTTTGTATTTCTCCATTGTTCAATTATGTCCATTATGTAATTCACAGTGTTTCATGGGAATGTAGTTCTCTCCCTCATTAAAGCCGTTAAGCACACAGTCTTATACATTTGTCTTTTTGTCTGATTTTCAAATACTTTTGGCTTCAAATAGAAGTTGTTGTAATGTTGTGATTCACCTCATAGATGGTTGGTTTGGTTCATAGCTGATAATACTTCAACAAAGACTTTTTAAAAATCCCTATAGAAAAAAACAAATGGGAAAAAAAAAACTTTTAGAACAAGTGCCATGGAAAATGTGGGCGGGACTGTTGCACTCTATTGAAATTATATTTCGTTTGCAGATTTTTGCAGAGCAATGGCAAATGTTACTGCGAGTTTAGTCTCAGTCCAGAAAACATTTTTGGCTGTTTTTCCGGAACAAATTAGATCTGGTCACACAGGCAGATGAGGGTGGTCCCAGATCAGTATTAGAAAGGCAAACTGTGTGGAGCATCAGTGGGAAGGGTGTGTGGGTCCCTGGCAGTGAAAGTGACTCATCAGTGATGAGTCATTCAAAACAGATGAAAAGGAAGGGGGTCTTTCCACTCGTCTTGCTCCATAATCTCACATGATTAATCCAATAACACACTCCTGTCAATTTAGAAGGCACAATGATTTGCTGAAGTGGTGATCGCAGTTTATGAGCTGTGTTTCAAGTGTTGACTCTCTAGGGAGCCGGACCATTCAAATAGGGCCTGAATGGCATATTAGCCTTCTGATTTTGGGGAAAAATTGAGTTGCTTTTTTACAAAGCATAGCTGTGTAGTTTATTTAAAGCATGCCACCGACTCCTCTGTTGTTGACACAGATAATTAGACCTGTGGATTATTATTAGTTTGTGGAGTATCCATGCATTAATTGAGCTCACCATGGAGCTGCTCATCAACAGCAAACAGGAAAACATAGAGTTACAGCTCTGTTGTTTCTGTATGATTAATTAAACGTGTTATAGTGACTGTCAGGCTGCACTGTAGATTGAGCTGTCTTTATGCAATCCTGAGATTTGCCTGACAGTGTTGATTGCATGTAAAAACACTGCACTGATTCTGGCTGAATTTGTCTGTGTGTGTTTGTACAGGTGTGTTTGATGGGTGACTGTGTGGGAGGTGTGCTGTGTTTCGACGCTCTCTGTTTCAGCAACAGCCCACGACACAGCAGCCCCATCCACACCAGCCGACATAACAGCACAGAGAGCTTAAAGGTATGGACAGAAACACTGAATCACTCGCTCACATAGTAAACACATCTGTAACTTTCATTCTTTGCTTCCCTTGTCTTAGAGTGGTTCTGGTAAAAAAAAAAAAATCACCTGAGTAGGAATACACTGTTGACAATAAATTACATATTACACAAAATAAATGAAAAATAAAAAGCTAAAAACTAGAACAAATCTTTTTAAATGCTACAAGTCAATCTAGGCATCACAACTTTACAATGTACAGTATAAAAATAGATATTCGTTTTGAGATTTGCTGAAGATTACATTTAACAGTTTTGAAATTATTAGTGTTTTTAATAAGTAACTTTAAATGAGTGTTATATGATGATAAGAAAACGTTTTAAAAAGGTTACAAAAAAGTGCATGCACAATGAAATGCCCAATATCTGCTGATAATGGTATATAAAAAAATGTTACCAAAATAAATAAAGGTAAAAAAAAAAAAAGGATAAATACTGCATGCACAATGAAATGCCTAATACTGACTTTTTTTTTTACTTAGACAGCAATGAGATTTTATTGGAGAGCAAAAGGAGAATTTTGATTGTCTGATTTTTCCCTAGTAGTATCACATCTTTAAAGTTGTAGATGAAATCTCAACAATGTCACAAACTCTGCTCAGATATGCCAAGATATCAAAGTCTGAATATTTAATATCTCAATATAAAAATGTCTCATCAAAATTCATGGCGAAATACTCTTAGCTGTTCTATCCACATTCATTTCATAGCTCTGTATTATAACTCAGAATGTCGATAATTATCTCATTTATGTTTATGTTTTATCTCTGAACCCTCTGAGACAAAGTTGATAAAAAAACATCACTCAGAGCTCATTTTAGTCTTCTAAGCTATGAAAGAGCAACTTCTGAGCAGATTCCTGTGGGTTTTCCAATCACACTACTGTGATCTTCAGGGAGCACAGAACAGCTGTCACATCAGACACACCATCCAGACTTTATTTGACACTGTACTTCAGAGCACTTTTATATTATTTGCACATTTATATAAATTATGACTGTTCAACTGGCTGTCTCACATTTTCCACACACTCAGGATAACCCTGAGGTCAGTCCGAGTCTGAGCTCCAGCAAACGTCTTAGCAGGAGCAACATTGACTTATCTGCCCCCAGTGAGACCCGCAACAGGAAAACTCCACTCAGCCTCAAACAGAGCGACTCGTATGATGGAGAGTCCTCTGGCAGCCAGCACCACCCGTTCCTCAGCAGGTACTGCATGCTTGAAAGAACACACACCAGAATTTGAACCTGCTTCTAGAAGTGTTTCTATTACAATATTTTCTCCATGCAGAAACAATTTCTGAAGAGTGTCAACATTGCTCTTGTTTTTTGAGTAGACTGACATATCATTGGTGTGTTCATTTTTTTGAACAATGGCAGGGAGTATTTGCATTAGTTTCGTAATTAGTTTTAGTAAATTGGCATATTTTAATTGTTTTTGGTGCAAATAAGCATTCTTAGTGATTTTTAGGATTATTTATGCTTCCATTTAATATGTTTCTTTTAGTAAGAAATCAGAAGAAGATTACCCAGATGTGTCCCCCTGGACAAGACATACATAAATGTATCACCCCTTTTCCTCAGTTCTGTTTATCAATATTATCTGCTTGATGGCATGTTGCGTGCGCCTGCAGTGCTATTAATAGTCACAGCTGCAGTCAGTGTGCAAGTACTGTATGAGAGATTGAAGGACGACTGAACAATGCCTTTTCGCAGAAGTTGCTCAATACCATAGCAGCAAAAGACCAAATATCCAACTGTTTATCGTCTAAATTATCCTATTTAGGGTATTTATGTGGCAAGAGAGATTTGTTGTAGACACAACACTGTTGTTGTCATAAGTCTCCAGCACAGCTCTTTTATTAAAAGAGTTCCTGAATATTCCTGCGTACAACAATAGCGTTCCATGTTTTGATAACCCTGAGGTCAGTCCGAGTCTGAGCTCCAGCAAACGTCTTAGCAGGAGCAACATTGACTTATCTGCCCCCAGTGAGACCCGCAACAGGAAAACTCCACTCAGCCTCAAACAGAGCGACTCGTATGATGGAGAGTCCTCTGGCAGCCAGCACCACCCGTTCCTCAGCAGGTACTGCATGCTTGAAAGAACACTGACCAAAGTTTTGACCTCTTGGAAATGCTGTGAGTAAGTGTTTCTATTACAATATTTTCTCCATGCAGAAACAACTCCTGAAGAGAGTTTTTTTTTTACATTATTCTTGTTTTTTTTTTTTGAGTAGACTGGCATGTTATCATTGGCATGAGTTTGAGGTGGGACTACTATTTAAAAAAAATTTTTTTTTTTTTTTTTCGAACAATGGCAGAAGGGAAAATTTGCATTAGTTTCATAATTGGTTTTCATAAATTGGCATTTTTTAAAATTGTTTTTGGCGCAAATAAGCATTCTTAGTGATTTTTAGGATTATTTATGCTTCCATTTAATATGTTTCTTTTAGTAAGAAATCAGAAGAAGATTACCCAGATGTGTCCCCCTGGACAAGACATACATAAATGTATCACCCCTTTTCCTCAGTTCTGTTTATCAATATTATCTGCTTGATGGCATGTTGCGTGCGCCTGCAGTGCTATTAATAGTCACAGCTGCAGTCAGTGTGCAAGTACTGTATGAGAGATTGAAGGACGACTGAACAATGCCTTTTCGCAGAAGTTGCTCAATACCATAGCAGCAAAAGACCAAATATCCAACTGTTTATCGTCTAAATTATCCTATTTAGGGTATTTATGTGGCAAGAGAGATTTGTTGTAGACACAACACTGTTATTGTCATAAGTCTCCAGCACAGCTCTTTTATTAAAAGAGTTCCTGAATATTCCTGCGTACAACAATAGCGTTCCATGTTTTGACCCTCAGTAACAGCTAACAATTTATGTCATTGTGCATAAAATTGCGTATCAAATGAAGCATATCCTAACCCTAAGCTGTGTCATGTCAAGGGGGAAATTGAGTCACTGGGTAATACATGAACTGTTTTAAATCAAATTTGAACACAAATTAGAATAAATACATTATTTTGAAATGGCACTTTCCCATTTTCCAAAGTACTGAATCCCATAAGCCAATCAGGAAAATATAATATTATAATGTGAATATTTGAAAGTACTGAAACCTGTTTGGAAAAAATCTAATCAAACTATTTGATTGTTTATTTAATAATTTACTATTACTCTGAATATTTTTGAATGTTGTGAGTAAACCCATTTAACATTTTTAGTTACATGTTAATTTTTACTATTACATTTTAATATTTAATATATTTAATATATAATATATAATATTATACTGTAATATTCAGACTATTTAAATTTTGTGACATTTTCAGCATTTGTTTTTACTTAGTATTTCCTGGATGCAATGCTTGCTATCTTTTTTAGTCACAGGTAAATCTTACCCTGAAAAAAAAAATGCTTCATTTGGTAATGCAGCCTAATCTTTCATCAAAAATGCATGTTTATATATCGGTAATTCATCAACAAGCATCAACAAGCCTCCTTATTTGTATGTTCAAATGTATATTTAGACTGCAATACATTTGCTGTTACATAAAACTTTTATTTGGCACATAGAAAATGCATATTGATAGCAAAATGCAAAAAGTTTAACATACACACACACACACACACACACACACATATATATATATATTTATTTTTTTTGCATACAGGTAGGATTTTTTTTCTATAAAAATGCTTGCTTAAGGGCACCGTGACGCTGGTTGCCTTTGCGACTGATATTGATGATTGATCTACCGACCTTCTCAATACCAGCCCTTCCAATGCAAGTTATCTTATACAGAGGTTTTTAGATCTTGCACCTTTGTGCAGTCACTAAAGGGCCGCTGAGAGGAGTACTGGACAAAAGCACTGTTTCTCACCAAGAACTGATAGCGCTGCACCTTAGGGAGACTTATCACTTAGCTCATCCATACCCCTCAGCTCTACTACATTTCATTCCCAATCATCTGTCCCCGGGGTCCTGCACACCCCATCCTTTTCACACTCATTCTGAGGAGAGATAGCCAGTCAGAGTCTTTAAGAACTTTTCTGTCATCGCTCCAAGCATGATGGTAATAAAGACAAACAATGTGAGAAAACAGGGTGGAGATTTGAAAGGCAGTGAGGAGGAGAGGAAGAGTTGTTGACAGTTTAATAGAAAGATTCTTGCTGTAATCCGTTGGGGTTGGATATGATTTTATATGAGGGTATGCACATTTTGTTTTTATATCTGTGAGGACAACTGTATATTCTGCTTTGTTTTGTCTGGGTGTTCTGGACTGCTTAAAGAAATAGCTCACCAAAAATGAAAATTTGATGAAAATGTACTCACCCTCAGGCCATCAAGGATCAGTTTGTTTCTAGAGAAAGCAATATTATGAATGGAGGACTTGTATTTTAGCCAGAAGCAACAGTTTAAATAAAAAAAAATGTCTTGATGGATTTTTTTCTTTCAAACATGCTGCTTTTCACTTCACAAGACATAAATTGATGAACTGGATTTGTGTGGGTTACTTGTGGATTATTGTTATGTTTTTATCAGCTGTTTGGACTCATGCTGATGGCCCCCATTCACTGCATAGGATCCATTGGTGAGCAAGTGATGTAATGCTAAATTTCTCCAAATCTGTTCTGATGAAGAAACAAATGCATTTACATCTTGGATGGCCTGAGGGAAAATTTACAGAAAATATTTGTGTGAACTATTGCTTTAAACAACTCCAAAATTGCCCAGAGTCATCCAAAGGCAACAATTATGTGGCATAACTTTATAAGTAAATGTCATCTTTTTTTGTGTGTGTATTCAGTCTGATACAGGATGGAACAGACCTGAGACCAAGCAGCAGCACCGGTCTAGTGTTGAATCCAGGTCGCTTTGACTTTGAGGTGTCGGATTGTTTTCTGCTGGGTTGTCCTCTTGGATTGGTGCTAGCTATGAGACGCACTGTGCTTCCAGCTGTCCAGGGTTGGTGTGGAAATTCTCCAATTAATGACCAGGACACATTGTCCTTTGAATACACTGGCAGCCATTCCTGTTAGGTTTGATTTTCTTCCTCCTCAATCATATTTACAATTAATTTTGTCTTTTTTTATCTTTTGTGTTTATCCTGCAGTGTCTCAGCTCCGGCCTGCATGTTCACAGATCTTCAATCTGTTTTACCCTTCTGACCCGTCGGCCTCTAGACTGGAGCCATTGCTGCACTCTCAATTCCACAAACTGCCTCCGTTCCCTGTGCCCCGCTACCAGCGTTATCCTCTGGGAGACGGCCGTTCCACCCTTATCGGTGAGTGAGATATCCTGTTGAGAATCAATTAAACTGTTTGCCGCTAAACCACATGCACAAATAAAAAGCAATATTCACTCATTTGTTCTTTTTATTATGTTTCATAATTGCTTTGTCACAGTAATGCGCTTATCTTGGGTTGCCAAATTGACTCTGTGTGCTATTTTGAGGAATTATTCTGGTTTGGTTGTTAACAAGGTTTTCTGGGGAAGAAACTACACTGGATTTTTTTGTGACTTCCTCTTTTTGTATGCATCCTTTTCCAGACAGACGACTGCTAACCTGAGCAATACTGTGCCCCCTCTCGCCCCCCTTACATTCTTTTACTCAGTGCCAGATTCCCTGGAGTTTTACCAAGTTCTGTAGGCTGGTGTCTCGCTCTGTAATGAGTTCCTGATTTATTTAGAGCCTATTTTATCCTGCTTTGCAGACATATGTAACTTGTATGTCATCCATTTTAGGCTCGTTCTATATTCTAGACTAGGCCAAATATTATTGAGCTAATGATGTATCTGTTACGGAGCTGACAAGACGTGAGACGTGCGGATCCATGTGCAAGCTTTATTAAAAGCAGAGGAGGTCAGAAACACAGGCAGGGTCGAACAGTGGCAAACAGGTATATGGCGGGCAAGACACAAGAATAATCCTAGGGCTAGCGTAGGTCAACGATCGGCGAACAGAATCACAAGGGTGAGACAGGAGGGATAAATCCAGGAAAACAGGCAAAGATCAGAAACCAAGAAAACAGACGAGGCAGACTAAGCTAAGGCAGGGTAAACTAAACAGGCTCCGTAGTGTAGCTATCAAAACGATAAGCGCTAAACAATACTCGGCAGTTAGAAAGGAGTGAGACTGAGTGTTAAATAGTGAGTGAGTGATATGAAACAGCTGTGTGCAATCAGTGCTGTGTGCAATCAGTGTAATGAATGATGGGATATGTAGTCCGGGGTGATATGCAACAGTGTGTGGTGCGAGAGTCAATGAAATGGAAAGAGTGACCTCTGATGGCTAGCAGACGGAAGTTCATGGACCGGATACGTAACAGTATCAGTTTTAAACCTTTCAATGACAGAAATAATGAATCTGGCTAAACTAGTGTTTTAGTATTATTCATATAATATTATAGTATTTATAATATACTAAATATATTTATAAATACTTACTACGTTTTGAATTAGCTTGTATTTTTATATATTCATTTTAGTTTTAGATTTAGTGATTTTTATTAGATTTTTTTATTAGATCTTTCTAGTTTGCTTAAATAGATTTTTCAGTTTTATTTTTTGGCAATTTTAGTATTTCGGTTATTTTATTTCAGTTAGTTGCCAAGTTTTATAATTTTGTTTGTATTCAGGTTTGCATCTAGCACACACACACATATATAAAATATTTTTCAGCATTATTTCAGTTAACAGATTTTTCAGAAAATGAAAAGATTGATTCAAAATATCTTTGTGAACTGAAACAATGAAAAGTAAACAAATTTGAAAACGCTTAATGATAATAATCTCAAGGAACATAAAACTCCACTCTAAATATGATGTGTAAATGAGCTGTTTTTAAGATCATTTGACAGGAAAGCAAATATATACAGTATTAACTGTGAAACCTTCCTGAAAAAGGAGAGATTACAACCCTCATCAACACAATTCAACAGAGAGAGGCATCAGCAATTGAGAGGAAACAGTCTGTGTCTCACAGGAAATGTGACACTGACTTTTAATTATATCAAGTCTCACTCTGCTGATCATAGGTGAAGAATGTCACAATATTTGTTAGATACTGAGGCGTGGATGTGTTTAATTTAATGCATGCGCACACCCACCACACACACATGCTCTGTTTTAATGCAGTACTTAATAATTGCCGTCCTAATGGAGTATCTCTGGAGTGGCCTCCCATGTGTACAGTTCTTTCATTATGAATCATTACAGATTTACTCAGCGGGCCTTTAATGTGAGAAATGTATCTGATATCCATCTGTTTTTGTGTTTATGCTGTTCCTGTGCATTTGGATTCCTTCATTTCATTTGGCGGCTGACTGAAAATCTGGAGCCATTCATTTCAAGTAGCTGGAAACTGGGGACTGTGATCCCAAAGCCATATGTGAAGTGACATCATGAGTTCTTTTTCTCATTACACTGAAGAACAGCCTGATTCTTTCCACTGAACTCTGTATTGCCTTCAGCCCCTCATGCCCAGAGCTCATATACCACCTCGCCCTAATCTCAAAGGTCTCTCGTGTTATTCTAAAGCGCAGTAGTAAATGCTGTATCCTGCTGTGCCTTAGTCTTAAATCTTCTCAGAGTTGCCTGGTCATTTTGAAGTCACACTAAGCCAGTTTTTTGAGCAAGACCTTTTGCTCAATTCACTTTTCACAAAGACCCGCCTCCCTTATTACTGTTGCTATGTCCGGCAAGCTATGGCGCTGCCCATCATTGTTCTCATACAGTGAAAAATACATCACGGAGCAAAGAAGACACTGACAACGCGCCGACAGACAAGACAGAACAGGTTACTTTTGATATGAAACAAAGTCTCAGCTTTCAAATTTTGTCATTTTTTAAGAAATTCAATTAATAATACCATTTTGTGACTCTTTAATGTGTCGTGACAGATCAATGTAGTGACTCAGTTCAAGCGGCACGTGAATCAGTCATCTAGTCCAGGCAGGGCCAGATTTACCTCTTTTCATGACATAGGCAAAGCAAATTTTTGGGCCCCCCTTCCCTATTAATATGTTAGGCCTAATATTACCACCCAAGCAAACGAAAGTATTTCTTAATCAGTGCAAACCATTACAGTGTTTTCTATCGCAATAAGCGCTTGCGTTCAGTCAATAAAAATCAAATGTAGTTCTTAATTTGTTTGAGAACTGAGAAAGACCATTCCATTAATAGGTGCGGCGTCGTGGCCACATAATAACCACTTCGGGAGTGCATTTCTCTAATAATTTTAACGGCCTGGAGTCACAACCACTCATCAAGACTGTTCAGATGATTGTTTCAAGACATTTGACATGTTTCTGTCCTGAAATCTCATGTGTTGAACTAATTTTTTACGCACCTCATCCCAAACCTTCTGTTGCAAATTCCAAAACGTCTTATATAGTATTATAATAGCATTATATAGTGGTTCAACGCATTATATTGTGGCTTTTTTGAGTCACAGATCGGACTATTTTTTCGTATAAGCAAGAAAAAAATATTTAAAGCACAGAGAATGACAATGCCGTGAAGGGTTTTTGACATAGGCTAATTTTATGTGTATGTATACGCAACTCGGTATTTCTGCGCTGTCTGAAACACGTCTCTTGTGCGCGCTTTGATTGTGTGCGAGAACAGCGCGTGAGTAACGAATTGAGCTCTCTTTCGTTTCTTCTTCTTCTGGTTTAAAATTGCTTGTACGTGTAAATTGGCAAATTAATCTGCGAATCACATGCCTGCCGAACGGTAGGGTCTCATCCGTACGTATTACGGATCAACTGCGATCCGTTTAACTCCTAATATATGACAGATCAAAGCAATCTTTAATTTACTTATTTAACATGAAATTGTCAAATTGCTACTCCATTTCAATCGCATTCAAAGAAAATACAGAATAATTAGAACAATCATTAACATAAATAAGTAACCGAGTGTCATATCTATACAAATTTTTCCCAGAACGTTCTTGCGACCCGGTAGCAATTCTTCCA